TGGATACATACACGTATATGTATGCACACATAAAATTAAATACATTATCTATCTATCTATCTATCATCTGTTTAAAAGAATTGGCTCATAGGATCATAGAGGCTAAAGTCTCACAGTCTTTCCTCTGCAAGCTGGAGACATAAGAAAGCCAGTAGTATAGTCTGAAGGCCTGACAGCCAGGAGCTGATGGTATGCTTTCCAGTCTGAGTATGAAGGCTAAACAAAAATATTAACCTGGAGTTCTCATCTATTAAAAAAAGGAATATAATACTTTTGTTTAAAAAATCCTAGTTAATAAGATGAGAAGCCTCCTTATATATCCAACCACCACTATACAGTGGACTCCATCAAAGACCAAATGTCATCACATTTGAACCAGGATTCAAATGAGACTGGATATGGAACTGGAGAAACAGTTTTTAATTTCATAGCTTTGAATTTAATCTAAACTGCCTATCTATACTTCTGTTTTCAATGATTCTTTCCCCAAGGCTTCTCTGTGGGTTTTTTCCTCACAGTTTAATGAATTTTATACTGCTTTCAAGAAAACCCTTTATATCTTTCTTGCACTGAATTTGCAAAAATCATTAAAGCTGTAAGAATTCTCTTCATTTTCCAAGATTGCAAAACTCTACTCACATTCCCCAGTGTTATTCCCACACCACTCAACTTCAAGGTCATCCTCTCCTACTATTGTTCAAAGAATAGTTTTAGGCCAAGGTGGGTTTTTTTTTTTTTTTTTAGCTTCTATGTCAACTGACTCATCTTTTCAGTAGCTCACTGCAATCACACATTCACAGATAATTTCATTTCTAGTCAATTTTTTGATCTTATATAGAAAACCATTATACCTTTATGTGTATATATGTGTGTACACATACATGTATACAGATACAGATCTATAGATCTTGAAGTGTATAGGGGTCTGCGGATGCTGAAGAGAATCACAGCCTCTATTTAATTAGATATGGAGTCAGGTACATTGTAGCAGCTATGGAAATAGTGCAACTATGCTGTTGCTGCAAGAATCAACTGTGTCTTAATGCAACACACAGAGGATGCAACAGAGGAATTTTATATGGATGAGTGATTGGGTTGACTTTTTGGAACGTTATTTATTTTAGGATGTGGCAAAGGAATAGTCACATTAGTGACCATTGTGACATATGTTGGTGATATCTGGTGGAATGGACACTTACATTGGAACTTCTTAAAATTTTTCCTTAAGAAGCCATTTTCTTCTCCAAATCTCATTTTAAAAAATACACAAAAACCAAAAAGAAAAACCTACCTTTTTCCCACTAAAATGTTTTCATTAAGCAATAAGAAATTCACGGTTACTTTTTTCCTCAAAAGAAGGCATATGTGAACAGACTTGGATGTTTAGCATTAAACACTACTGACACCTTGAACTTGTGGGTTTCCAGCTAAAAGTGTTAGACTTGATATTTTAGCCAGCACATGTGGTCATATAGTGGGTAGGTGCACAATTCCTTTAGGAGTGCTCAGATGTTTTAAATTGCTGATGGGATCCATAGCTTTTCCTGCAGACCCCTAGAGCTCAGCATCCCTGGCTGAGCTCTGACACACAAGGAGTTTACACAGGCATCACAAGACTACCTAAGAAGAATATGCACCTCCAACCCCCAAACAATTAATCATGCAGCAATACTTTCCCTCAGAGAACTTCTAATGGAAAGACTCTGGTGTCCTTTGACATTTGGCATTTGCCCTTATTACATTCCCAACTCTGGCTGTGGTCACAGGCCTGCCCATCACTGAATTATGTTCATTCACTTTCCTTCAATGTCATATTTTGAAGGGTTTCCTATTTCTTTCTTCCCCTCCATGCTAACGTCTTCACTAGTACTTTTTAGCTTTCTGCCATCTTGCCTGGTTCTGGGTGGTATTTCCTTTCCCAAGCATTGCAACAACTACCTGCTCTTCCTCTTTCCAGCTCTCCTTGTATCTCAGGTATAGCTTCGCCATTTGGGAGGAAATTGGCACAAGTTCCTACGACTCTTGAAAAAATAGTTGTAAAACAGCTTTTATATTTTAACAATTATTTTTAAAAACATGTTTACGATAAAATACATTCAGAATCTCTGGAGGCCTACCTAAAATACTAACTTTCTACAAGCACATTGTGTGCCTGTTCTAAGGAGGACCATGGATCCAAGAAGGTCACAAAGAGAAGAGGTACCTTGAGCCCCATTTCTCATGGTATAAAGAAGTCACCAGTCCAGTGGCTCTGACTTGAGCATCTGATATTTGAAGGAAACAAAGAACTATTTTGTACAGTTTTAATGACTTTGCTGCTTAATTCACCTCCACTCCTCAGAAAAAAAATCTTAGCTCAAAGTTATTTGGTAAACATATTTGTAACCCTGACATCATTATTTATATTAAAAAAAAAACCCTGTAATAGTCCTGTGGGTGCACCTTTTATGGCATGCATGACTCAGGTTTGAATTTATATTACTGTAGCTTGATTCAATATAGTTTAGAGGTCTAGAGTTGAGGGTTTTTGTCCAAATTGCTGGATACAAATCCTTTCTCTGTCATTTGTTGGCTATGTGACCTTGGGAAGTTACTTGAATTCACTATGCTTTATTTTTCTTATGTGTAAGATGGATATAATAGTAATACCTGCCTTGAATGGTTGTTTTGAGCAATTGGAAATATAAAGACCTTGATGCTGAGAAAGCACTCAATAAATATTACCACAGCTATAAGTACCTACTGAATGTTTGGTAGAAACAGTAAAGGATTAAAAGAAAAGATTTGAACTGAACAAAGGCAGAACTTGGAATGTGTGGTGCTTTCTGTAACTTGAAACACTAAGAAAATAAACTTTTCTCACAGTAAAAACAGAGTACATACATACAAATGTAAAAGGGTGAATGTATGTATTTGGAAACAATGTAAGCAGATATTTCATGTGGCAATTTATTGGAGATTTAAGACAAGCTATAGAGTGCAAATGTTCAGATGTCTGCATTACCATGTACAAAAGTGCACGCGTGTATATCTAGGAGTATGTATTCTATTCAAATTATTTTACCTCAAAGGCCAAGATCACTGAAAATAAGGAAATACAAGGGTATGTAAAACATGATGCAAATATTAAAACTTGTGAAACCAAGAAACACTCCTATGCAAAAATGGAAGAAAATGAAACAGGAATGTTTTAATATAGGACAGTAATATTTATTCCAATTAATTTAAGCATGAAATTGAGGGAGTTTCAGGTATGAAATTAATAGATGAATATAATAGATATGTAGTTTAAGTCTAATCATGAATAAAGAATAATGTGAAAGGTACTAATGAAAATGGAATTTCTGCTTTATTTTGATTGGAGTTTTCAATGCTCAAATAAACTTAAATGTTCAAAGAAAATACTCCAAATTGTTGGCTAGCACAATTGGATAATCAATTCTGATGTACAGAACTTCCAGAAACACAAAGCATCACTAATATCTAGAAAATGATTAAGTAAAAGCCATTTTAAACTAATGACATGTACTAAAAGTGAAGAGCTGTATGTTACTAAAACTTTTTAGTTGTGGAAGAATGTAAGATTTTTAATTGCTGTTTTATTCACTTGGGGTCAGATAAAAATAAAACAAAATGATGAAAATAATTGCTGGATATATAAATGTAAATAATAAAAAACTTAAATAGCCCATGCATATATGTATATACATATAAATAAATTAAAATACCAAAATAAAGAACACAGCAAAATATTCTTAGATTTGAATGTGCAATTTCAAAAGTTTGCTACATATTAATTTATTTTGCTAGCAGAAAGCTATTTTACATATATGGGATGGAATTATATGGCATTTTACTTGCCAGTAGTTTTTAAACCTCACACTGAATTTGAATGTAACATGTTAGAAAAAAAGGGGTACCTTGCATTTTATTTATAGAATACATATTTTAATGTATTATATCAAGGGATATTAAAAATCTATGCATAGCAAATATGATACAGGAAAATCCACATCTAAAAACCTGATGTGGGAAACATGGTCTGCAATGGTTCTACAGGAGCAGATTTTTATGGTCATGAAAAATTACATAGTTGAACAACTTTAAATTTGAACTCAGATATTACATTTTGTTTTGTTAAAAATAGACAACTTTTGAAAATTTTGAGTGTGTAGGGTTTTATGTAATTCCAACAGTATTGCTTTTGAGCCTTGGTGCTATTTGTTGACATATCAACTGCTCTTCCAGTGTTGGGGAGGGTAATCCAAGAAAATCCTACCCAATGTCTCCTCTCTTCCCAACTATACTTCTCAAAGGGCTTATATTCTTTATAGAGCCAAATATGCAAGCCAAGTTTCCTCCAACAGCAGAAACCACGTAGTTACTGGGTTACACCTGCCATCTTTCAGACACTAATAGCATGACCTTAACACATTCCCATTTCCATGTTTTGGGTACAATTCTCACTGCCATGCTGCACAGTCTATTTTCATACATAAATGGGCACACGTCTGATCATTTCTTCTGTTTCATTTCTCATATGACTGAACATGGCCATCCAGTCTAAATTTTATTTCAGTGTCTACGGGTCAGGAAAGTTAATGTTTAATATTTTTATGATGATGATCAGATGCAAAGTTGCAATCTGGTGCTGAGACATGTCATTTCCAAACAACCTTCATTTAATGGCAGAAGGAAAATGGTTGCCAAATCCAATTTATTAGACTATGCCCAACTTACTTTTGCTCAAATAAAATAATATAAAACTATCCCTAGGATACTTATAGAGTAATAAAAAATTTCACTTATCAATATTAGATAAAAATTAAATTTAGAAAGAGCATCATTTTGCCAACTCAGAATGACTTAACATTAAATTCTATTTTTTTTTTTACTTTAAGGCTCAAACTTTCTATTACTGTAAGCACAGGTTTTGCCCTCATCTTTTTGCTCGTTTTTTAAAATAATCAGATTTAAAGAATCCCCCATACTTTACTTACTTGTTTAAGCTTCTTTAAATCTTCATCAAGTTCTAAGTTGTCCAAAATAACAGCAACAAACAAACTCAGGAGGATCTATAAAATGGTTAAATAACAATGAAAAACCCCACATGCCATAAGTATCCAAACATTATATATGATATAGAACATCTATCTAAAATACATTGATTATAGAGTTCATTAAGTGAAGCATAAGCATGCAGTTGCAAATCATTGCATAGGCATTTTAAGGTGTTGTTACAAATACGTGAAAACAAGTGCATATGCTAACTAAAATAAAAATATGAGTGTTAATTTGCTTTATGAAGTCAATTTAAAAAGAAAAGTAAGAAAAAAACTTCTTAAATTCAATATTCCCACTCTGACGCTTTATCTTAAGAAAATAATCTGAAGTTTTGATGAAAACCTTAATATGCAGAGCTGCTTATTAGAGTTATTTGTAATCATGAAATAGACTGTACTGGAAATAGCATGCAAACTTGCAGAAGAAGTTAATACTGTTCTAGAGATCTATATGATAAAACCCATGGAGCTGTTAAAAATTCCCTTTGTGGAGCTGGTCTCCAAGATGGCCTCCAGTTTTTCTCTCAGTAGCTAATGTTCACGGTGTTGTAGTCCCCTCGCACACTGAATATGGCTGGACTGTACTGTAGCCAGTAAGTTACAGAAAAGGTTGTGTGTGACTTATGAGACAGGTTAATAAAAGACACTGTGGCTGTCACCCTACTCTCTCTTAGATTAGATCACTTGCTTTGGTGGAAGCAGGTACCATATTGTGAGGCACTCAACAGCCCTATAAAAAGACTCAGGTGGTAATGAGTTGAGGCTGCCTGCCACCAGCTAGCAAGAGATTGAAGTATCCTTCAACAACCATGCAAATGACATATTTCCCAGTTCTGTAACACTTTCCAGGTGACTGCAGCCCCAGCGAACATCTTGTTCTAATCTCATGAGACAATGAAGTAGATGCATTCAGGAAAACCTCTCCCAGGTTCCTCTTCCCAGAAACAACATGAAATCAAAAAGTCTCATTTGTTAGTCAGCTTCTAACAAACACATGGATAATTTGTTTCATAGCAATAGATAACCAGTGCAACTCATGAATTTTTACAGTATTCAAAATGTTTACGTTACAATATTATATGAGATTACATATGGCAGAAGTCTAGCTGTGTATAAAAAGGGATAATGGAGAAAATACTAGAAGGAGATACTTTAGAAATACTATAGTGTGCCTACCTTTGTGTAGTGAATAATGAATCCCACCTTTTTACATTTCGTAATATTTCCCAAAGTAGAAAAAGATACGTGCTTCTTTTGGAACAGGCAAATATGGGAAAAGATAGAAAGCAACTACCCAGTTGCATTTTTAAAACATTGCAATGTCTAGTCCTCCTTCAACTTAAAATTCTCTAAAGTCCTACATTCATTTCATCATCTTCATCATTCCTAATGTACATATTGAATTTTCCTGTGAACAAATTATTCCCATTTGATAATATTAGGTGGTTGAGCATGAAGTTAAGAAAGATGAGGCCATTTAGCCGTGGCTCTTAAGTACCAGAAAGATCATCATGCAGAAGTTAATGTCAGCTGTTCTCCAGGTTTAATGAGTTTATCACAACGGGGAAAACTGTGACAGAATATGCTTGGTTTGGGATTAGTTCCAGTCTTCTTTTAATAGCCATTCCTTGGGGATCCTACAAGAACTTGAATAAGATATAGAATAGTGCAGACCAGAGGCTTTTACTCATGTCACCATTTCTGCCACATAGCTGGTATGTGGGCATCAACTTCCACAGATGGCTTCAGCAATTGCCAGGTGAATTTCAGATAAACTATATTTACTAAACAGTGCCACCCAGTCTTAGCCATTGAGAACTGGCTATTTTTATCTTGGGAACACATAGGTGATGTGGTGACATAAAAAGGTAGGATTTTTTCCTTCCTTGGCCATCTCTGGTGGGTCACCTGCAATGTCCATCACAGTGTGGGTTAGTGCTTATTCAAAAATATAACTGTTTTCTTTCTCTTCTACCTTTATGGAGAGGGCTTCTGGGTTGGCAGATTTTATTTTGATTTTTTCCTCAACACCAGACAGATGGTAGGCTACTTAAGGACAGTGAGGTTATGTTATCTGATTAAATTCAACAAACAGTTGAACACAAATTCAAAATGTACTCAGTGCTGCGGTGTTTGCAGTAGAATTTAGCAGACATAGGTGGCAGTCTATGTCTGTCTAGAGATCGCTGGGCTTGGGGTCAGAGACCCTGGTTAGCAGACAAGCTCTGTCGATTACCAGGTGGGTGACAATCACTAGCCTATGGTGAGTTCAGTGTCATGATTTCTAAAATACTGGATAAAATAATAATGAGTCAACAAATTACAACTCTCACTATTTTCATTTACGCCTCCTCCAACAAGTCTGATGTGGAGTATAGCCTATGTGAAAATATATAGATACAGATTTGGATATATGAAAATTGTTTTCTTGCTTTTCCTACAAATGAATTTAATTTAGTTCATAACTCCTCCATTTCTGCTAGGGCTGAAGATGTAGCATTTCTCTGACAACTAAGGTTAGTTCTCAGGATCTCAGTTACATCTGAATAAATGCTCCTTTTCTTTTTAGGGGTGATCTAAGGTAAAAGATGTGTACCATCTGGCATCTGTTTCATTGTGGGCTGCCTAAGATATCCTCCATCTCCTATCGGGGCACTAATGGCACTTTTCTTGGGAGCCCTGGACTTTTAATCTGCCAGTGTGGTCACCGCCTGAGTTCTGGAAGCTCCTGCTAAGATCTTCAATTCCCAGTGATTCCTTCTGTGTGGGTTTCAAAGAGTTGCTGAAACACAACACACACACTTGGAAGCTTAAAGTAAGACATTTATTTTATCACAGTTCTGGGAGCCAGGAGTTCAAAATTGAGTTGCCTTCATGACCAAACTCTTTCCAAAGACTCTAGGAGAAACTCCTTCCTCACATCTTCCAGACTCTGGGGGACATGGGTGTCCTTGGCTTGTCACTATGTAACTCCAGTCTCTTACTCTATCTTTATAAGATGTTCTTTATTCCTGTCTTGTCTTCCATCTCTTATAAGAACACTTATCATTAGATTTGTGATCCACCCAATAATTCAGGATAATCTTATCACAAGATCCTTAATTACACCCGCAAAGACTGCTTTTCTAATAAGGTCACATTCACAGATTCTAGAGGTTAAGACATAGGCATATCTTTTAAACTCAGAAGACTCTCTGATCTTTGGATTGAGATGTTGTTCCAACACAAGACACACAGCTCTCCACTCTCATACTAGCTTGGAAATTCTAAGGGAGATTGTTTTTGGGGAACTTTCAGGACTCTCTTTACCTAAACCTCTCAGGAAGATACCCAAGTCTGCCTGGTTGCTCTTGGTCCACAGAGTGGTGCCCAGGAAGGCTATTTCTCACTCAAGTTTAGACAAGTCAGGTGCCAACAAAGCTGCTGGACCCAGGGTGGGGCACCACCTCCCATGGAATCACTTGGGTTCCATCTCAAAAAGCATTATTTTCCCCCAAAAGGCTGAAATCTGAGTGAAAACTGGAGCAGAGCTGGAGAGTGCAGCTGTGTAAGTGTTACAATGCACAACCAGAAACTAAAGCCTATTTGAGTACCAGAAGTTCAGTGTTGTACCATTTGAGTACTTGGGCTTCTGAGAGCCCACTAGGGCACATGGGAAAAGGGCATCTTATTTAACACTGTGAAACATTGATGAAGCCTCCAGGGTTGTGTAAAAAGGCATGGAGATACCAAAGAGAACGGTGATTTTGGCAGGAAGAGAAGTGTGAGCAGGGCATTGCCGGTGACTTGGGAGCACATGGTTCATTTGGGCACTGGTGAATGGGAGGGAAGCCCAACCAGAACCTGGCTTCCTGGAAGGATGCTGGGAGGCTAAAAGGTGGGGCTGAGGTGGGCAGTGCCCTGAGTACCTTGCACAGCGTCAGGAGACCGAGGGAAGGAGGTTGAAAAAGTGATGAAACCATGATGTTAGTTTCTTTTCTGTTGTTTTTCCTCTCCAAAGTTCTGGGGGTTTCGTTTGTTTTTGTGTTTAATTCATGTAATGCAGTCATCTAAACTGGTTCATTGAAACAGTAACTAGACAGTGTGAAGTTTGACAAGAGTTGATTAGATATAGAACCTTTTCTCACCTTCTTTTAAAAATAAACAGTAAATTTTACACATTTTTCTTTGAGGAAAGAGAAAAAGCCATGCTCAGAGCAGAAGACCAGAAGTGGATATGAGGTTCTCCTTATCCTAGCAGATGGGAGTTTGACTTTCACTGAAGATGAAAGAAAGGAAATGTTGTACAGGAAAATCTCTGGCTTTTCTAGGGAAAATGTGGATGAGACTTCATGAAGGGAAGCCTCAAACTTACAGGACTGAGGACAAAGTGTTGGGGAAGATAATTGGCAACGAAGTAAAACTAGTAAAAGAGAAAGCTTGAGGTTTGCTTGAAGCTTGCATTAAACCTAATTTCATTCAACAAAGATCTCCATAGAATGTTTAGGCTTCATTGTTCAATTAATATGACAATCTGATGGCAAACCCTGAAACTAGTCAGCAAGAGAAATGAGTCAAAATGTGTGCAGTTGGAGCCTTCTCTGGAAGCTGCATTTGGACCTGGACTTTGGCTCATCCCTGGTGTATGCCACTGTGAGAAGGTGAGGACTTGGCACCCAGGGTGAAAGATGAGGAAAATCTGAACTGAGACTAATCTCTTTGGAATGGAAATGAAAGATTCAAGAGATGGTGAGCCTGCAGCTGATTGGGAGTAGGGGAGAACTAGTTTGTAGTTCTTTTCTCAGACTTTAATAGGGTGACAATAGCTACTGTGACCAAGAAATAGAAGTAAGGGGAGCCTGGCAGCTTGGTTTCCATCATACTTAATTTACCTTGTCAGTGATACAGTATTTTCCCACAAAAACAGGGTGGAAATGTACCGAGGGAGCAGGTTGGTCTGGTGTTAGCCATTTACCAACACATGGTATTACAAGTCATAGGAAAGAGTGACAAACCTTAATTCTGAAAGCAAG